GTACAATAGGATTTTGAGCAAAGTTTTTACCATTAAATTATGCAAAAGGAGTCAGACACAAAACATTTAAGAAACCGTATGAATCAGATATGATACATTTGGCATTACAGGGTTAAAACCTACTTCATCTGTCAGACCCACCACAGATTTTTACTTTGAGTTAAACTTCTCTTTGATCTAATGAGTCTAATGAGTCTTAATGACTTTTCTCTTAACTGGAGACAGACGTTCTGTTTGAAGTCTCAAACTCAGAACAGACCTGCTGGTGTCTTTTTAAAGGCCTTAATTCAGGAAAGCAGCATCTATCATTAACAAGATAAATAAGAGATGGAAAGGATTTTAAAGTGAAATAATTAATTTTCTATTGATGCCATTTAAACCAGCTCATTCCTCAGTGATGCTGGAAGTTGGGTAACATCCACCAACAGGTTTAAGTTTAAGGAAATGCTTGTTTGGATTTACAGAAACACATTTGGGCTAACTGGATGGCACCTAGCAAAAATGACCGATAATTATCTTTAGGCCAAATCAAATAATATTATAGTTTTATAGTTTTATTCCAACCACAATCTCAGACTTATCAAAATGGATGAAAGCCCATCACCTCCAGCTAAATCTGTCAAATATATATAAAGTAAGGTGAACACTTGGGTGTTATGACCTTTGACCTCTCCTGTTTCCTCTAACAGAGTCTGACAGTGACTTAGTTCCGGGTTGCTAATCGTCAGGTTGCTAACCGGATGCTAACTAATGTTGTGTTCTGCTAAATGCATGAAAAAGCCTTTCTACCCGACACAAATGCAATAATATTTGGATTTAACTAGTTCAGTTTTGCAAAAAAAAGAAGAGAAATGTTGTTTTTTTAACTTTTGTCAAAGGCATTTATGTCTATTTCTCAGTAGGTTTCTTGTTAATTCTTGTTATTTTCTCCTACGTGCTCAGAAAGAGAGGAGTAATGGTTTTCTTTTGGTTCCAATCCTCAACTTTGTCTGTAGATAACACTAATTTACAGACACCAGAATCCATTCCTCGTGTCCCAAAATCTTTATTTTCTGCATCTTGTTGCTGAAATGCTCCTAAAAAGTGAATTTTCCATCACTTTTAAGAGACCTCAGGAAGGTTTTCCTCTGGTTAAAACCTCCAGTGTCCATCTACGAATGCTTTCTGTGTCAGAACTGAACTAAACTCTTATTCTTATCTTATCTCCAGTAAAGCTGCAGCTCCAGGCGACCTCGGTGGGGGAAGTGGTCATCAAAGGAGTTTCTGCTAACCGATATCTGGCTATGAACCGAGACGGACGCCTGTTTGGAGCAGTAAGTCTCCTGGATTTGACTCTTTCTTTAAAAAAAGCACCAGTGTTTCTTATAGGATATCACAGAGAGCCTTTTCAGACCCAAAACTAGTCCTAATATTTACACAGAGGCCAGATGGACCAAAACAAACAACTAAATAAACTCAAGGTACACGAAAAATGTCAGAAAAAGCTGATTTATATCCACATTTTCAGTTTGTTTCAGCCAAATGAGCCATGAGCTATAAATCTGCTCCCTCCAACAATTTGTCTTTGTTTTGATTTGTCGTGTGGTTCATGGCCAGCAAACTGAGCTGTAAAAAGTAAACCATTATGCCAAATGTATCATATCTGATTAATACGGTTTCTGAAATGTTTTGCTTAATTTAATGGTAAAAACTTTGCTCAAAATCCTATTGAACACAATCAGATACACCTGATAACAGGGGGCAGAAGATACACAAAAATAATCTGGACTTATCGCAAAGTAATAAATTATTAATATTATCATTTTATTTTTATATTCACATATTTTGTTAAAAGGCCAAATAAAAACTTAAAACCAAAAAAAGTAAATTTCTGTTTTGTTTTATTCTTCTATGAATTATTAATATTAACTTTTTTTTTATTTTTACATATTTTGTTAAAAGGCCAAATAAAGACTTAAAACAAAAAAAAAGTTATTTTCTGTTTTGTTTTATTCTTGGATCAGGCTTTAAAGGGTTAAAGAACTAAATGAGCTCAAATCCACAGACCTGTTGCTCAATGTTTTCCATATAATTGATAGAAAATAGAATATTTTGGGTTTGATACCAGTGTTTTGTCTCTGATCATTGGGTTGTTTACTGCTTTAGGGTCTTTTCAAGGCCTTTTGGAGGTTTTTCTCTCGACCACTAATTAATCTTTCAGCCATTTTTTCTCCAGAAGCTCTTTTCTTTAATTATCTCTGCTAATGAATCAGACTCTGTCACGTGCACGCTGCCAGGCTGGACGTGTAAATTGTTGGTGATTTAGGAGGTTTTGTGGTTGTGAAAACCTCTAAAGTGCCTATAATTAGCAGCCTCCTCCTCCTAACCAGACTCCGTCTGATTAAATAAACGGCTGTTCTGACACCAACAGAAAAGCTCAAATACCCAGTTAAACATTTACCATTCTCAAAAAACTAAACATATTTCTTCTGATTTGACACCTTTTTTTAGGCTCATTAAACTAGAATGTGGAGATCATTTACAGAAGTAACAGCGTTTAGATCTTTATTGCTTTT